ATACCCCAGTGTAGTATATACCCGTGCAGCATACCCCAGTGTATATACCCCAGCATACTTCAGGTAGTAATAAATTCCCAGCATACTTGTGTATATAATGCTCCAGTGTAGTATATACCCTACATACCTAGTGTAGTATATATCATATATCCCAGTGTAGTATATACTCTAGCATACCTCTAGTGTTATATACCCAGCATACCCAGTGTAGTATATACCCCAGCATACCCCAGGTAGTATGCACCTGCATACCCCAGTGTAGTATATACCTGTTATTAATTCTAGTATATACCCCAGCATACCGTGGTTTTCTTGTTATTACCCTGTAGTATATATACCAGCATATCCAGTAGTATATACCCAGTATGCCCTAGTGTAGTATATACCTGCAGCATACCCCAAGCTTTGTAAGTTATATCGTTCTTTCAGTTTATTATGTAATAGCTTAATTTACTGGAACCTCAATTTCATCACCTGAGTCCTGCTTATTTTACCTGATGATTAACGACCTTTAGCTACCTGTGGGTAGGTTGGTTAGGTTAGATTAGAAAGGTTAATGTTAGGGTGTTTATTCATCAAGGTAAGTGGCTGTGTTTAGTCATCAAGGTAAGTGGGGTGTTTATCATCAAAGTAAGTGTTTGGGTGTTTAGTCATCAAGGTAAGTGCTGGTGTTTAATCATCAAGGTGTAAGTTGGGGTGTTTAATCACTGGCAAGTAAGCAAGTGTTAGTCATGTAAGTAAGCCAGTGTTTAATCATCTAGGTAAGTAAGCTGGGGTGTTAATCATCAGGTGAAGTAAGCTGGGATGTTTAATAATCAAGGTAGTAAGCTGGGGTTAATCAAGGTAAGTAAGCTGGGTGCTTAATCAGTTGGTGTTGATGTTAATAATCATAAGTAAGCTGGGTGTTTAATCATCAAGGTAAGTGGGCAGTGTTTAATCATCAGGTGAAGTGAAGCTGGGGTGTTCAATCTTCAGTAATCCAAACACATCCTGGAGTACTGTTTGATAAATCTTGGGGAGTCCAATATCAAGGACAATCTTACTGAGGAGATGGATATAGGAATGAGAGAGAGGTAAGGAGAGGAGGAGAGGTGAAGGAGGGTAGAAGAATAGAGATGAGGGGGAAGGAAGGAGGAGGTATGGAGGTAAAGAGGGGAGGAAGGTAGAGGTGAGGGAGGTGGGAAAGGAGGGAGTGGAGAGGTGAGGGAGGTAAGGAGGAGGGAGGAGAGGTGAGGAGGTAAGGAGGAGAGGTGAGAGGTGAGGGAGGAGGTGAGAGGAGAGGTGAGGAGGTGGGGAGGAGAGGAGGAGAGGAGGGAGGTAAGTAGTGAGGAGGAGGTGAGGGAGGTGGTGAAGAATAAGAGATGAGGGTGAAGGAGTGAGGAGAGAGGTGAGGGAGGAGTTCGCCATCATGGAGGTATGTTCACCATATTCCTGTAGGCTGGCTGAGGTCCACATCTCAAGTATCCTCCCCACCTCCCTCACTCCCTTACCCCCCTACCTCACCCTCCACTCCCTTTCCCTCCCTACCTCACCCTCCACTCCCTTTCCTCCCCCCTTCCTCACCCTCTATCCCTCCACCTTTCCTCTCTCTCCTACCTCGTCCATTATACCAAGTCGACCCCACCCCTTTCCCTCTGCCTCTCCAAGATGTCCGCTCGTGTAGTACCTTCCATAAATGGAGATTTACTCTTTACAAAACAAATGGAGGATGATTAAACTAAGCCACGCAAGGATTCAACACTCTCTACGTGATTTGAGATGCAGGAGAGAACACACACACACAAAGGGATTAGATCCACCATGAGTGAGTTATGGAATAGAAACGACAGTCATTTGTTTTATTCTAGCTGCGACGTCAGAGTGAGCTTTGTTTATCTCTGAGGGTAACATATTACCTGCCCCCCCACAGCCACTAGATGTACCGCAACTTGAAAAAAAAAAACTAACTATATTGGCTTTAAAAATGTCTAAACTCAAGGAAAACATAAAACTATAATTACTTTTTCTCGGGGATTAAAAAAAATATATATATATTGTTTGTTGTAACTACAGAAGCGAGACGAGCATAACATAGCCTGGCCCATTAAAAACAAAGAGAGGCCGATATCTCAGGCTACACACAGAAGTGATGAGCGAGGTGGGGGAGGTGAGCGAAGGGAGAGGAGGGAGAGGGAAGGAGGGGGAACGGCTTAGTGGAAATCTGTCTACAAGAGTAATGGCTGGTGTTAATAATTGATCTGTGATGCCGAGAAAATACCTTCTGTTTGCTGAATTTCATGCTGTTTATTTCCGTCCTAACTTGGTGAAATACAATGAAACTTCTATTTAACGGACTATATAGAGATGAAAGTCCTTTATATCGATGGTCCATTAGATGTGAAACCCTCCATCTAACGGACTATATAGAGATGAAAGTCCTTTATATCGATGGTCCATTAGATGAAACCCTCCATCTAACGGACTATATAGAGATGAAAGTCCTTTATATCGATGGTCCATTAGATGTGAAACCCTCCCTCTAACGGACTATATAGAGATGAAAGTCCTTTATATCGATGGTCCATTAGATGTGAAACCCTCCATCTAACGGACTATATAGAGATGAAAGTCCTTTATATCGATGGTCCATTAGATGTGAAACCTTCCATCTAACATCATATGAAAAAAAAAAAATCCGTTACATGGTTTCAATGTAATATAATTTGTAACTAGAATCTGTAGCAGGAAAATTAACACGGACATTCATTATAAAATACATCGTTAAGTGAAGTTCATTGCTTCTATTCACACTGCTGAAGAATTACTGCTGTTCTTTTCTGTTCTATACTGTTCTGTTCTGTTCTGTATTTGACTAACAGGACCCCAAGAGTGTATGGATATTACTGAATATTCTGGCAAAAAAAGATAAGGATTTGTATCTCTAACTTTCTAATAAACAAATCACAAGCGGTGTTCCTCAGGGCATAGTGTTCCTTCCCCGTCTATTTCCTGTCCTCATACAGCACGTCAATCACATAGCAAATTTCACTGTGTATTATACGAGCAAGACCCAAATTATCTTGAAAGACCCTCCAGAGAGTCACCGAGCGTCTACATTCATTCAGACGTCAATCAGACATCAATCAGACATCAATCAAGACATCAATCAAGTCATTCAGTGAACAGAGAAAATAAGAAAGGTCAACGAGGAGAAATTTCAACTTCCTCACAACGAATGGAAGAAGGAATTGGACACAAGACGCAATAAATCATGTTACAAGAAGAGTGGAAGAGAGGAACAGCAACACAATACAACGAGGTCAAGAAGAATAGATTAAATCAGCTGAAGATTAGACACCCCCAACTAAACCTAACCTAACATAATCTAACTTAACCTAACCTAACCCAACCTAACTAAATACAATCTAACTAAACCTAACCTAACCATAACTAACCCAACCAATCCTGACATAACTAAACCTAACCTAACCTAACCTAACCATAACTAACCCAACCAATCCTGACATAACTAAACCTAACCTAACCTAACCACCCAACCTAACCAACCTAACCTAACCTAACCTAACCTAACCTAACCTAACCTAACCTAACCTAACCTAACCTAACCCAACCTAACTAAATACAATCTAACTAAACCTAACCTAACCATAACTAACCCAACCAATCCTGACATAACTAAACCTAACCTAACCTAACCTAACCATAACTAACCCAACCAATCCTGACATAACTAAACCTAACCTAACCTAACCATAACTAACCCAACCCAACCCAACCTAACCTAACCTAACCTAACCTAACCTAACCTAACCTAACCTAACCTAACCTAACCTAACCCTCTCAAGGTATAACAATAGGGTATTTAAATCAATCATCAGGTGAAATAAACTAATATGAGTCAATCTACAGGTAATTTGGCTGTTCTCTCTACAACAACAACCGTAAATAGTAATATATCAGTATTTACTAATGGATTAAGATTAGATTATATTATATCTTATCCTCTCTAACTGATAGGCCTATGTAACTGATAGGCCTATGTAGAGTTTGTTGATATACTGGGGAGATAAGTATGGTTGGGGAGTTGGGGGAGAGTGAGGTTTGTTGACTGGCTGGGGAGATAAGTATGATTGGGGAGAGTAATAAGATACGCACGGTATTGAGAGAGTTTGGGGGAGACTAATGACTAATAGTATATGTACAGTAACGGACTAGAGGGAGGAGGGGGGGAGGGGGTGTAGTCCGTTATATCGAGGTGGATTAGATGAGAAACTTCGATATAATGGATCATCTCTCTCTCTCTCTCTCTCTCTTTTATTTTTCCTTTCTCCTCCACATTCTCTCTCCCTAACTACCCCCTGTTCCTTCTCCTCTCCCTCCTCTTACTCTTCCTTCTACTTCTTCCTCATCTCCCTCTTATCACTCTTCCTTCTTCCCATTCACTAATCATCTCTCCCTCCCTCTTCTTCCTCCTGTCAATAATCATCTCTCCCTCCCTCTTCTTCCTCCTGTCAATAATCATCTCTCCCTCCCTCTTCTTCCTCCTGTCAATAATCCTCTCTCCCTCCCTCTTCTTCCTCCTGTCATTAATCCTCTCTCCCTCCCTCTTCTTCCTCCTGTCATTAATCCTCTCTCTCCTCCTCCTCTCCCCTCACCACTCCTCTCTCCCCTTGAAGCAAGCACAAGGGGACAGTGTTCTCCACAGTGCTTGCCTGCATACACCCACCTCTCCCCTTTCTCCAGCTTGTCATACTATGTGCCAAAGCAAACAGAGAAAGCAAAGCAAAGCAAACAAGAACAACAAACAAGAAAAACAAGAAAAGCAAAACGCACACCTCCAACGACAAATATCCAACAAATAAAATAAAAACACAAAACAAACGAAAAAATATGAAGGAGAGTAAAGCAAACAAGGAAGAACAAATAAAAGAAATAAATCAAATAAAGTCTATACCAGTGGCATCAGTTGGCACTATTCGCCTGTGATAACAAGGAGGATATCAGGGCACTATAAACAGTCCTTGGCACCATTTGGCACCCTTAACACCACTAGCACCCATGGCACCCTTAGCACCCTTGGTACCATTATCACTCTTGGCACCAATATCACCCTTGGCACCATTATCACCCCTGGCACCCTTATTACCCTTGGCACCATTATCACCCCTGGCACCCTTATCACCCTTGGCACCACTAGCACCCATGGCACCCTTAGCACCCTTGGTACCATTATCACTCTTGGCACCAATATCACCCTTGGCACCCTTATCACCCCTGGCACCCTTATCACCCTTGGCACCATTATCAACCTTGGCACCCTTATCACCCCTGGCACCCTTATCACCCTTGGCACCATTATCAACCTTGGCACCATTATCACCCCTGGCACCCTTATTACCCTTGGCACCATTATCACCCCTGGCACCCTTATCACCCTTGGCACCACTAGCACCCATGGCACCCTTAGCACCCTTGGTACCATTATCACTCTTGGCACCAATATCACCCTTGGCACCCTTATCACCCCTGGCACCCTTATCACCCTTGGCACCATTATCAACCTTGGCACCCTTATCACCCCTGGCACCCTTATCACCCTTGGCACCATTATCAACCTTGGCACCCTTATCACCCCTGGCACCCTTATCACCCTTGGCACCATTATCAACCTTGGCACACTGGTATTACGACGTATCAACCAAGTGATTCTCTATCTCAGTCGTACCAAAGTGCCACCTGTTTCAGATATTGATAACAGGTATAGCTACACCAGCCATGGGACCACAGGTGTTTTTAATCACAGGTGTTGTGGTGATCTGTGAACACCTGTTGACCAGATGTTGCTTTTTGGAGTCTTCCTTTACACGTTTAGTAGTTCATTCTGCGATCAAATGCATTGTTACTACCATCAGGCCGCATGTTAACCTGGTACCTGGCTGTCTGATACACAAGACAACAGGTATGCATTTTTCCAGTATAGATCACATGAAGATTAGCCACCCCAACTTACTTTACCCTACGATTAATCACCCTATTGCTAATCCAACTTAACCTAACCTACTGCTGTGCCCTCTTTGTTTACAAATCTGTCAATCACTTGCTTGACAACAAATATTTCAAGGTCCGGAATAATTAGAGATACAACTTAAGGCACCCAGAGCTGCTAAGACCACCCCCTATGCGCTCCTCTCAGTCCCAGACCTCCATAAAATATCACAGTGTGAAGGTGTGGACCAACTTACCTCCACACATCAGAGCAAAGACTACGCTCCCTTCCTTTAAATCATCTCTTAAAAAATATCTATTGTCTAAGTATTAATATTTCTTGTAATATCTACTTTATATACCTGCTTTTATTGTACCATCAAAACCATTTTATTAGAAATTATCATATAATATAAGTGTAAAAAAAATAAAAAAATAAATATTGAAGTGATAACAGTGGTAACATTATGAGATGTTCTTATTCTCAACCGGCTCAGTCATGTTATTATTATCCACTCTGTATCTGTGTTTGTCTGGCTAAATAAACTGTTACAATTCAAAACATAACGTAACCCAACTCAACTACCACAGATATAAAGTTAGGGTGTTAATAATTAAAGTGAAATAAGTTAGGGTGTATATTATTCTAGTAAACCGCCGGACCTGAGGGTTAACAAGTGAAAGGTGAACCACAACCATAACAAATCAAACTCACGAGAACAAACGGCATCTTGTTACTGTTAATTATTATTATTATATTCTCTCTCTCTCTCTCTCTCTCTCTCTCTCTCTCTCTCTCTCTGGCGCCCGTGCCATGTTTATTATGACTGCGGCTCTTCATTCACTGGCTGGCGAATCAGAAGCCCGCGTTCATCTAGTGCATACCTGTTGTCTCAAGATACCAGACAACATGGGACCAGTTTTACCTTCACGACGCTTTACAACAAAATTTTGACTCGAAACTTAATAAAAAAATAATATTAAGACACTAAGAATTAAATAAAGAATAAGAAAGACGGACAAGAAATAATGTTCAGATCACAAGGAATAAGAATGACGCATAATAAAGAAAAATAATGATAGGAAAAAAAATATGACTTATGGACGGAAGCAAGTGTGTTCTAAGAGAGGGCACGAAACACCTCCCCCACACACTAAACGCTGTATTGTCACCGTGTTGAAATACCCTGTGGTGTGACCTTCTCCCCACCTTATTATATCGTATTTGTATCACTTATATTAATTGTATATTATTATATCACTTAAGTAAACCATTCCCCAATTATGTAACTTTTATCATATCTGTTGACTGTATATTATCAGCCGTTTGGATACCATGTTCTTTCAATAAACTGTTAAAGATTATTAAACACACACACTTTTTCAGCACAGGTCGGGGTCGAGAGAGGTTCGGGCCACCCGTCTGATGAGAGTAAACACCGACTCTCTCAACCTATGTGTGTCACCTGGAGGAGGAGGAGGAGGAGGAATGAGTTGGAGGAGGAGGAGTAGTTTGGAGGGAGGAGGTGGAGGAGGAAGAGGAGTGAGTTGGAGGAGGAGGAGTTGGAGGAGGAGGAGTTGGAGGAGGAGGAGGAGGGAGGAGGAGGGAGTATTGGAGGAGGAGGAGTGTTGGAGGAGGAGGAGTTGGAGGAAGGAAGAGTAGTTGGAGGAGGAGTAGTTGGAGGAGGAGGAGTTGGAGGGGAGGAGGAGTAGTTGGAGGAAGAAGAGTAGTTGGAGAAGAGTAGTTGGAGGAGGAGGTAGTTGGAGGAGCAGTTGGAGGAGGAAGAGTAGTTGGAGAAAGAGGTAGTTGGAGGAGGAGGAGGTAGTTGGAGGAGGAGGAGTGTGGAGGAGGAGGAGTAGTTGGAGGAGGAGGTAGTTGGAGGGAGTAGTTGGAGGAGGAGGAGTAGTTGGAGGAGGAGGAGTAGTTGGAGGAGGAGGAGTAGTTGGAGGAGGAGGGTAGTTGGAGGAGGAGGAGGAGTAGTTGGAGGAGGTAGTTGGAGGAGGAGTAGTTTGAGGAGGAGGAGGAGTAGTTGGAGGAGGGAGGAGGAGTAGTTGGAGGAGGAGCAGTTGGAGGAGGAAAGTAGTTGGAGGAGAGAGGGTAGTTGGAGGAAGAGGAGTAGTTGGAGGAAGAGGAGTAGTTGGAGGAGGAGGAGTAGATGGAGGAGGAGCAGTTGGAGGAGGAAGAGTAGTTGGACGAAGAGGGTAGTTGGAGGAGGAGGAGTAGTTGGAGGAGCAGTTGGAGGAGAAGAGTAGTTGGAGGAGGAGATGATTGGAGGAGTAGTTGGAGGAGCAGTTGGAGGAGGAAGAGTAGTTGGAGGAAGAGGAGTAGTTGGAGGAGGTAGTTGGAGGAGGTAGTTGGAGGAGGTAGTTGGGAGGAGGTAGTTGGAGGAGTAGTTGGAGGAGGAGGAATTGGAGGAGGAAGAAGAGTGAGTTGGAGGAAGAGGGAGTAGTTGGAGGAGGAGTAGTTGGAGGAGGAAGAGTGGATTGGAGGAGGAGGAGTAGTTGGAGGAGGAGGAGGAGTAGTTGGAGGAGGAGTAATTGGAGGACGTGGAGAGAAAAACAAATAAAAAATAAAGACGGAGAGAGAAGACGATAAAGAATAAGATGAATGAAGAAAACAAATAAAGAAAGTAATAATGGTGAGGAAGGAAGAAAAGGGCAATAAAGAGTCAATTATGTGTGGATGTGATAGGCGTTTGACCTCTTGATATTGTTAATTTGACCTTTGACCGTCTTGAAGTACAATGACTTGACCCATCGATTACGTTGATAACACTAATTACGTTGACTTAACCGCGCTTATTACGTTGACTTAACCCCTTATACGACTTAACCCGTTGAATACGACTTAACCCTTGAACACGACTTAACCTCTTGAATACGACTTAACCCTTAGACACGACTTAACCTCTTGAATACGACTTAACCCTTGGATACGACTTAACCCTTTAGATACGGCTTACGACGACTTAACCCTTGAATACGGCTTAACCCCTTGAATACGACTTAACCCTTGAATACGACTTAACCCTTTGAATACGACTTAACCCTTGAATACGACTTAACCCTGATACGATAGCCCTTGAATACGACTTAGCCCTTTGAATACGACTTAACCCTTGAATACGACTTAACCCCTTTGAATACGACAACTGAACAGCACATAGAGATAACCCATGTACACGACTTAACCCTTGAATACGACTTAACCTTTGAATACGACAACCCTTGAAATACGACTTAACCCTTGAATACGACTTAACCCTTTGGATACGATAACCTGGATACGACAGCGATATTGATACGACTTAACCCTTGGATACGACAACGCCAGATACGACAACCCTTGAATGCGACAGCCTTTGAATACGACAACCCTTGAATACGACAACCCTTGGACACGACAACCTTAGACACGACTTAACCCTTGAATACGACTTAACCCTTGAATACGACTTAACCTTGAATACGACTTAACCCTTGAATACGACTTAACCTTTGAATCAACAACCCTTTGAATACGACTTAACCCCTTGAATACGACTTAAGCCTGAATACGACAACCCTTTGAATACGACTTAACCCTTTGAATACGACAGCACTTTGAATACGACAACCCTTGAATACGACTTGATTAACCCCTTGAATACGACAACCCTTTGAATACGACTTAACCCCTTAGATACGAGCAACCCCTTGAATACGACTTAACCCCTTTGAATACGACTTAACCTTTGAATACGACTTAACCCCTTGAATACGACAACCTTAGATACGACAACCTTTGAATACGACTTAACCCCTTGAATACGACTTAACCCCTTGATTACGACTACCCCTTGAATGACAACCCCTTGAATACGACTTAACCCCTTGAATACGACAACCCTTGGATGCTTAACTACGACTTATGAATACGACAACGCCAGATACGACTTAACCCTGAGTTACGATATCTTAGCCCGTTGATTTGAATATGATGATCTATGTATATTTTGAAGATAATAATAATAATAATAATAATAATAATAATAATAATAATAATAAAATAATAAGCAAAAAGAAACCAGAAGAGGGAAGGTGTAGAGATACAAGGCCAACACAACTAGGTTTATTGAGGAGAGGAGAGGGCATTGAACCTTTGATAATGACAGACAAACAAACAACCTGGAAGAAGTTGATCCCCACACACACTTACCTAGTTCCCTCCTACCATTCTCCTGCCTGACTCCTCCTTCCTCCCTCCTCTCCTTCCTCCATCATCTTCCAACCTTGCTGCATCACCCTCTCAAGTTCACTCCTCCCTCCTTCATAATCCTGAAATATATATATATATATATATATCTCTCCTACAATCACCTTTACCTCATAATCTGCTACATCATCATCTCACTCCTTCAGGAGAGACGGTCAGACTCAAAACATCTTGTGTTGCCACGTGACGGAGTTCTGGAATGTGTTAATTTAGACATTTGCCTATAACACTTACCTATAACCTTATCTATAAAACTTCCCTATAACATTTCTATAATTATTACCTATAACACTTACCTATAACCTTATCTATAAAACATCCTATAACACTTACGTATATAGCATTTCCTATAACTCTTCCCTAAAACACCAATAACACTTCCTATAATTATACCTATACTTATATCTATAAAACTTTACCTATAAACACATTTCCTATAAATTATTCCCTATAACTATTACCTATAACATAATAATACAACACACGAGTCTGTAATAACAGTTGTAATACAAAGAGTAAAACTACGCGACTTGGGGGGTCATCTTCGTTGTTTTCAGAGTGCGCTGCGTAGTTCCGTAGTTACCAGGTGTCACTAGCGTAATTCATCGATATACAAAGTTTTAAGTTTACGGTACATACTTGAAAAAATCTACATTTACATTGCACTGTTCGTATTGTTAGCGCAGTTTGAGAATGTGATATTAATACCCATGTGATTTAATAGAAAAGATTACTGCACTGTAGTGTTCTGTTGCTATTTGTTGATTCGTATCGTGTGCGCACTCTGAACTCTGCAGGTGTACAGTATATCATAGTCCTGTAATAAATTGTACATTAACTATCACACTAACAATAACACTGGCTATCAATGAATTACGCAATATGTATGTTGGTTAATGTGCGCAGTTTTACCTATCGTGTGATGCGCAGTTTGGAATTTGTGTCAAGACGGGTAGACTAGGAATGGAATGGAATAAATGGATTTGGTTAGATTGGTCTGGTTAGGTTAGGTTGGTTAGGATAAGATAAATTACGGAAGCATTTAGTCCAGTCCAGTTCAGTTAAATTCAGTTCATTCCAGTTAAATTAGTTTAGGTTAGGCATAGTTTAGATTGAGTAGGTTAGCGTCCAGTCCAATCCAGTTCATTCCAGTCCAGTTAGGTGAGGTGAGGTGAGGTAAGAGAATTTTAATCGTCACAACCAATACGGCGGGATGCTTAAACGTCACGTGATTAAGGTCCCCAAGCGACGACCGGCAGCGACCGTATCTAAATTTTGGTCTTAATTTGGAGTTAGGAAAGATAGCGACGTCCTGTGTTGCTACCGTATATCACAGGAGGGGGGGACGATGATATAGTGCAGCTAAGTTGTAGTGTCTCTCTCACACCTGGACCTCCCCCAGACGTCAGCTCAGGTGTGGCGGAGTAGCGGTTTGGTGCACAACAACGACAACAACACGCTCTACACCTCTCGTA